GGCGTTGGGCTCGCTGCTGACGCTGTGGGGAGGGCTCCTGCCACCACGGACCGAACTGCCAGCCTCTTGGCCGCCCGAAGATCGACTCCCCCGGCATCCGACCCAGAGTGGCGGCCCCGCGCCCGAGCCGCGCTTCCCTCTGCCCCCGCCCCTAGCGTGGGACGCCCGCGGCGGCTCCCTGAAAACTTTCCGGGCGCTGCTCACCCTGGCGGCCGGCGCAGATAACCCGCCTGGGAGGCACCCGGACGATCGCAGGCGGCACGTGCCAGCCGGGCTGCCCGAGCCCGCGGAGCGCACGGCGGTGCACGGGGGCGTCTTCTGGAGCCGCGGCCTGGAGGAGCAGGTGCCCCGGGGCTTTTCCGAAGCCCAGGCGGCAGCGTGGCTGGAGGTGGTGCGGGGTGCTCGGGTAGTGGCCCTGGATCGCGGAGGCTGCGGACGCAGTTCCAACCGCCTAGCCCGCTTTGCCGACGGCACCCGTGCCTGTGTACGCTACGGCATCAACCCGGAGCAGATCCAAGGCGAGGCCCTGTCCTACTACCTTGCGCGCCTGCTGGGCCTCCAGCGCCACGTGCCGCCGCTGGCACTGGCTCGGGTGGAGGCTCGGGGCGCTCAGTGGGTACAGGTGCAGGAGGAGCTGCGCGCCGCGCACTGGACCGAGGGCAGCGTGGTGAGCCTGACGCGCTGGCTGCCCAATCTCACCGACGTGGTGGTGCCCGAGCCCTGGCGATCAGAAGACGGCCGTCTGCGGCCCCTGCGCGACGCCGGGGGCGAGCTGACCAACCTCAGCCAGGCAGAGCTGGTGGACCTGGTACAATGGACCGATCTGATCCTCTTCGATTACCTGACGGCCAACTTCGATCGGCTTGTAAGCAACCTCTTCAGCTTGCAATGGGACCCACGCGTTATGCACCGCGCAACGAGCAACCTGCACCGAGGACCGGGAGGGGCGTTGGTCTTTCTGGACAATGAGGCGGGTTTGGTGCACGGCTACCGGGTGGCCGGCATGTGGGACAAGTATAACGAGCCTCTGTTACAGTCAGTGTGTGTGTTCCGAGAGCGGACTGCTAGGCGAGTCTTGGAGCTGCACCGGGGTCAGGACGCGGCGGCCCGGCTGCTACGCCTCTACACTCGCCACGAACCTCGTTTCCCAGAGCTGGCCGAGCTCGCAGACCCCCATGCTCAGCTGCTACAGCGCCGCCTTGACTTCCTCGCCAAGCACATTTTGCACTGCAAGGCCAAGTACGGCCGCCGGCCGGGGGACTTAATGGTACTCCGAGGAAGAGAGGGACTGGGGTATGAATGACGAGGGTTAGGGCTGTCTTCTCTGCCACAGGCTAGCACTAACCGGCCAACGCCCACCCGGTGGCCTCATCGCAAGGCTGTCTAAAAACTTGCGTTTTACCCACTTGCCCCCTTTCTTTTCATGCCAGGCGGTTTCCTTTCCAAGTTCTGGAAGGGCAAACTCACCGAGGCGAGAAGTGTAACATTCCCTCCACCCAGCTTTTTAAAAGGATTCTTTTCTGTGTTTGCGTGGAGATTGGATCCGAAGAAACTGGCTGCTGGGGTTTGGCCCCCGAATGGCAGTCTCTATGGGAGATGCAGTCCTTTCTTGTCGCTCCCTCCACCCACCCCCACCCCCACCCACCCCCCGCACCCCTTCCCAAAAAGGAAAACTTCCGTTTGAGCCCTTGAGTTAATTCTGCTATTTCCTATCAGCCACAGTGCGGGTGGAACCAGAGCAGGCTGTGACACGGGCTGGTGGAGCCCCCTTCCTGTGTTCTCCCTTTGTTCCAGCGCCACGATGGTGAGATAACTGTTCCAAGCTGAGGGACAGCTTTGGATAGGACAAAGAACAAGACTTCCCCGCCCCTGGGAGCCCTACAGACCCCAGCGATTTGTCTGACTTGTTCCCCAACTCCTGTCATTTTGGCCTGAAGGCTATGAATTCAGGCTAGTTGTATGCAGAGTTAGTAATGAATTTCTTCCTGCTTTGCCCAGCTGACCAAAAATATGACAATGATGATGTTCACCAGAAGAAAAAAAAATCAATTCCATGCACTTTACTTTGTTTTTAATTTTTTAGTAAGAAAAACTTTTTTATTTGACAGATTTTTGCCTTCTATGTATATATGTGCATAAATTGTGGTGTAAATAGACTAAACAAACTTATATTTCAATAAAAGGGAGTTTAAAGTTTAGAATTTAATTCCCATGGTTTGATCTGATTAAGGTTCCTGATTCATCTACTTTTGGAATAAGGTTCAGTTTTTCTCTGGCTAGTGGGTGTGCTTTGTAAAACAAAGGATGCAGATCCACCCCCTTTGGGCTTGGGGTTGGGGAATCTAACAAAGGCAAGAGTGGATTCCCTGTCTTCACTCAAATGAATCCTAGGACTGGAAAACAGTTCCTCCTAGAATGGGGAGGAAGGGAATAGGGAGAGATGAGAGAAAAGTGCTCCATTTCCTAGCAATTAAAATTGATAGGAAAGGATTTCACTGTAATGCATTCCTATATTAATCGTTTGGTAAATATGACAGAACCAGATGTGCGGACTGAAACATGACAAATGCCACCTCTTAAACTTCACTGCAGTGGTCACATGCTGCAGGTGATTTCCAACGTTGTAATTACTGTGCAACACAATGTGCAGAGAATACACTGAGCGCATATTGCAAACAGGTAGAGAGTGTTATAAATTAATTCTGCCTTTTAATCTCTGGCATGCATTCCACTGCATTCAAGAGATAATCTCTAACATCTGGGCTCCTCTGGTGCTCTGTGGCTTTTGGGCTGCTTTGGGGGGGGGGTAGTAACTGCATGTCCTCTCAAAGCAGCCCCTGGGACAAGAAAGGGTACAGTAAGTACTTTAGTACATGACATTTGGATGGTGGCCTTTGGGAAACTGAAAATTTAGAAAATTTGGATTGGTACCTGGTCCCAAGTGACCTTGCCTATTACTTTTTCATTTAATGATCTTTAATCCAGGCAACTTTTAGTTACAACTCTAATAGCTTTTTATTTGACTTGCATTTGTAAACCTGGAGTTTTATAGACCCAAGAAAATATTAAGTCTCTGTGGGTTCCCCTTCTCACTCAGCACTGTAGCGTGGTGTGCCGTTTAACTATTTAATGCCATCCTTGTGTTTCCAGTGCCTTGTTCTTTAGAAATTCTTTAAGAAAAATACAGTCCATAAACTGTGGTGTAAGCCAATTTTTTTCCAGAGACTAAATACAGAATGTGCTGATAATGGCGAATACATCTTCTTTCAAGACACGGTGAGACCTCTGATAATTACACTTTTGAAAAAGAGACATTTTTCATTTCTGGTGATTAATAACCAGGAGACTTGCTGTTGAAGTAATGGAGGCCGCTCCAAAAGAAGGGTAGATATTAGGCCACTGGCATTTTTCCTCAACACGTCTCATGGAGGGAAACAATGAATAGAAATAAGTTTGGAGTTTCACCGGCTGCCCAGGAAATCCACCCTGCTCGGATACAGCTTCCTGGGGCAAGTTCTGGGCCAACAGCATTCTCCACATTCTTCCCGAGCTTCAGCTCCAAGCCCAGACTTGACCATGGGTAACCATGAACGAGAAACAGAGCATGATGTAAAGGGTTCTTCTCAGATTCTCTAGTAAAGCATATCTGCCCGTTGGCAAAATCGGTTTAATTACATGGTAGCGTTGTTAAGGGAACCAAGGCCTAATTATAGACAAAGGGCTTTAACTGTTGGTATTCCTTGTGGCTAGCCTGTAGTCTGGGACATGGAAAGATCCATTAACATTGTGCTATGGTCAATGAATGCTCCTAGGGATAATTCATTTTTGAACTGGAGATGAATTGGTTCTGCAGGGAGACTATAATCTGAATTCTGCCCCTCACATAGTTACCTTCAACACATCATTTAACTTAGTTCTCTCATCTGTGAAATGGAGATTCAGAGTACTGTGGGATTTAAATGTTAACATATAAAACATACATAAGAAGCATGTTTTTAAAAAAAATTCTCAATTCACATTCCTCTTAAATGGAAAAAAAAAAAAACCAACTTTTTCCCCCTTACACTCCAGAAAAGTTCTACTTAAGTTCTTTATCAAAGCCAAATCTACCTGTTTCCAAGGTCAAGATGAGTTTTGACATGTGGTGATAAATTAACTCAATAAAGTGTTTGTAGAAGACCCTCTTCTAGCACTATGTAAAACAATGGTTCAGTCAGCCAAGGGCACAGGTTTGATTGCCACATGGTTTTAAGTGGGTGTTTTTAGAAACCAGCATACTCCATGTACCAAGGCAGCTGGAATAAAGTACCTGAGAGAGATTTAGAAAAAGAAGAAGAAAAAAAGTAGATGGCTCATTGCAAATCCATCACCACTTCTGGAAAGCATCAAAAAGTGATGAATCTTTGCAAGAACAATCCTCTTCCCAATTTCTCCTGCCAAGAGAAAGCAGGCAGTTGACCTTTCTCCTTGAGTTTGACTATTGATTAATTCACTCTGTCGGTGACATAGTTCTAAACTCTATTAAGTATGCTCGCCCTCCTGTCTTCAAATCAGAAAGAAAAACAAATTATTTTAGCACATCTCGACACTTCTCAGCCTTCTGACTACAACTGTAGCTAGGAAAGACCTCTGCAACCTAGAAGCTGGTGGTGTGAACTAAATGAATAAATATTTACGGTATTTTCAGAAGAGTACCTGGCACACAGGAACCACAAGAGGGATTTATTGACATGGTAGATTATTCCTTCTCTGAGTCAAAACCAGAAACACTTGAAATGCCAGGCAAGATCCTCTCACAACCTAACCTTATCATTATGACGACAGAACACTTTATACAGCCTAGAGTGCATGAGTCTGGTAAGAGATACCTGGAGCTCCTGGCTGCCAGCAGGCCACTGCTACTCAAGAGCCCTCTCTGATAGAGTCAGCAGCCACCCTCTTTCTTACAGGGAGGCTGTAGTTCTATTTCTTATGTGGCCTGTCAGCTTTGGGGAGCAATGAGCTGTGGAATTTACAGGCTCCTCAGATATCAGGAGTTATTTATGAGTCATGGATCATCTGATCTTGAGTGCTAATTTGCCCCTCCATGCTTCTGCCTCATCCCACACAACCACTGGTCCCAAATGGTAGGGCAGGGGTTTAAGAGAAGGAGAAAGGAAAGCCCAGTGGCTCCGGAAGCACCGGGACTGCTCTGGGAAGGACCAGCATGTCAGATGCTGCCATGACACAAAAACCCCATTAGTTCTCAATACCTGCCCAAGGCAACTTAAGGGAAGGAGAGCTTATTCTGAGCCAGAGTCTTAGAGGGGAGTGTGCTGTGGAAGCGACGTCATGGCGGCAGGAGTGTAAGGCAGGTGTCACATTGTGTAGGCAGTCGGGAAGCAGGGAGACCTGCATCTGGAACTCAGTTTCCTTTTTCCTTTATAGCCACTCCTACATCTCAGTCCGTAGAACCATGTTGCCCATACTTGGGGTGGCTCTTCCCTCTTCCACCCACCCTGGAAACATCTTCACACACATGACTAGGCGTTTGTCTTCCAGGTCATTCTGGATCCTGCCAAGCTGACAACCAATATTCGCAGAAGCCAATCACCTCCAAGCACATTTTGACGAATAAAGTTTAATGGGGAGGATTCTGGGGGTCGGGAGACCCAGGCTCCTTCTGGCTTGTGATTTGAGAAAGTCATTCATCTTCCCTCTCTGGCTCCCTGTTCTCCTACATGGAAGAAAGTGTTTGATGACTCCATTAGTTTCCAGAATCACAGTATGATATCCTTTACATTGTGATCTAGGACAGACAGACAGACAGACAGACTCACACACACACACACACACACACACACACACACACACACACACACACACACGTCTCATCAAACAATATGTGTGACACACTTACGTTTTTCTCGTTGTGTTCCACCCTCTCCCTCCACTTCCCAGTGCTACCTGTAGCCCTCAAAATCGATTGCCTAACTGATCAGAGGGGCACAACCCACAAAACACAAAACACTGGCTGACCTTGTCACTAAGCTCCTTCCCAGCTCTCAAACTCTGGGGAAACTCCATTTACAACCAGTTTATAACCCACTGCATTTCCCCCCAAAGGGAATACAGACTTCAGTTTTGTAGACCGAAAAGAAGACTACAGCGCTTCGTTCAAAGTGTAGTTGAGAGACCCACTCAGCATCAGCCACAGGGTCTTCTCATAAACACTTCTAGATGTAGGAGGTAACTTCTCATCTGCTCTAAGCACGTGTGAGAAAATAATGCTTTGGAGTTAACACACACACACACACACACACACTAGTTCTTTGCATCTCTGTCTCCACGCATCCCAAGGACGGCTCAGGAGGACAGTTTCTTTTCTATGTATTCATAAAGATCAGATGTAAGAGTCATAATTTTTTAATGCGACTGTTTTACCAGTTTCTCTTTCTGTGTCCTGCTGTGGGGGAAACTGCATTAATAAACTATGTCTCAATGCTGCCTCGCCGGAATTTTTTTTCTCTGCAGGACTCCACCAAATATAGCAAAGGAATGCTTATTTTATTTATCTTTTCAACTTTATTTCCACTTCAGATATGTCTTCTTGGCAGTTTTCAATTTTTCTCTTAATGGCACTTTTTTTTTTTTAAGAATAAAGAACTAATTGTTCGTTGAGGAAACAACCACAAAAATTATCCTTTTCCTCCCTTTCTTGGGTGCCATATGGTATCTTTTACGGTTTTAATAGTTATTTTATTTCCCTTCTAGAAAAGTTAAGTAGCTTACAGAGCTCTCGTTTCTCTAGTACCAGCTCACAGAGTCTACTCTGCTGAGAAATTATGGGTTATAATAGAAACATGTCACTTTCAAGCCAACGGCTCTATATTCTGCAGCTGTCTCTGCCTGCTGTTTATAGCTTGCTGGAGATGAATTTTTCTTTAATGTCCATTAAAGACTTTGTCCCATTCCACAAAAATGGCCTGAAAAGGTAAGATTAAGAGACTGACCACAGCCATGATCTTTCTTCTTGAAAGTTGTAAATGTGTATGTGCAACATAAAATGGCAATTTTAATCATTTTAATTGTATACTTTTATGGCATTATGCATACTTACAAATTTGTGCCACCATACCACCATTTCTAGAACTTTTCCATCAATCTCCAAAAAATAATAAAACAAAAACCATAAGGCAGTAGCTCCTTATCCCTCCCCTCCGCTGCCCTCCAATCACCTTTCTGTCTGTATGAAATTACCTGTTCTGGATAGTTCCCTTCAGTGGAATCACCTGGCATTTGCTCTGTTTTTCTTTTACACCCGTGGCCACTGTCTTCTTCACGGAAGTAACGTGATAGAAGGGAGGCACTAGTTTTGGAAACAGGCTAATTGCATTTGAATCTCATTTCTACCCCATAAACACCCTGGAAGTTGGATCCAATTGAGAACCTCCTCGGGTCCCTCTGGAAAGCCACGGGAAGATGACAGCATTTCTAGAGTCTTTTCCAGCTCTAGAAAAACAGTTATGAATGGCAGCATACCACACAGGTGGGGTGAATACTATTCCTAGATTCCAGTCTCATGTCCATACCTGTGGAGTAAATGGCCTTTAAACTTTCTAGTCTAAGCACTGTGGGTTCATCGGTGAACCAGGTAAGTAAAGGATTTCCCTTTGTCGAGCTTAGACTCTAGAAAGGACATGGGAAATTGTCTAGCAGAAATCAGATGTGATAAGCAAATCACAGTAGAGAAAAGTGCAATGTGACTTTGTACTGTGATGTCTTAAGCTGACCTAGAGGGAAGTCAAAGAATGTTGACAATATAGCTTTGTTTTTGTCTTCAAAATTTAGGGCAATATCAGCCAATATGGGATTATCATCTTAGTGCCCCCCCCCAAACAATCTATAGCTATTCTGGGGACCAGACTACTAGAGGGCGTGGTCTTTGCTGTTTCTCTTGGGAAGCTGGGGGTGCCCTAAACTGGTGGTTTAAGTTTTTCCAGTAGATTTTATTTGTTGTCTTCAACACGACATCATCTAAATATTAATCTTCCCAAGGCTGGGTGCATGGGGAGGGAATGGTAGGAATTAATATCAGGGGGAAATTAGGACTGTCAATAATATTAATAGCTACTTTGTGCTGACTGCATATTAACAAACAAGGCTTTGTGTTACACGTCTCGTAGAACCCTGAGGGTTAGCACTGACTGGATATTTCTTTT